TCATCCGCCATGGCGACCTTGACCATGGACGACTGATCTCCAGCACCATTCCTCAACGGGGCGCACGGCCGTCGTGCCCGATGTATGCCACAGGAAGAGGACGAGGCATCGGCAACCAACCTGCGCGGAGGAGAAAAACAGAGTCAGAGAGATAGAGATCCAGATCCAGGGTCAGTCGCTTAGTCTCAGAGACACAAGAAGACAGATCTAAAGTTAGGGTTAGTGGACTACCTACGCAACCGTTGCCTGGTGCCGGAGATGACGAGGGCCACCCAGAGGAGAGACACCGATTAGAAACGACGGCGAAGGAGGGACGGACGGGAACACGGTCACGAACTCACATAGTTCACCGAGAGCGAGAGGTCGAGAGGAGAGAGGGAGAAGGGAGGATAGTGGAGACAGGGTCAGATAGGCGGATCGAGGTCACCGGAGTCGGGGACGATGGACGAGATCACGAGAGAGCTCAGATTCGCTAGATCGTGGATGCGGCCGATGCGGGTGAGAGAGAGAGAGAGAGCAGAGATTGCGCCGCGTCGCCGCATCAAGCGAGTGGGGATTAGGGTTAGGGTTGGGAGCGCCGGAGCGGATCTGCAGAGTGGGCGAGGCGATGGGGCGAGCGAGGGCCAGCTGCGCCAGCGGCGAGTGGGGATTAGGGTTAGGGTTGGCTAGTTCCCGGTTGGGAGTGGACCGTGGAGCGGGTGAGGCGATCGGGCGAAGGGGTGGCTCAAGCCGACGCCTCGCTATACATGCGGGGCGCAAGGACGGGGGGGGAGGGGCAGGCGAAGGCGCCCGCCGGCCTCCGCTTGAGGAGAGGGCGTGTCACCGTGCCAGCCCACGTGCCTAGGGTAGGCCCAGGCACGGCCTGCACCTCTCGGGCCGTGCTAGCCCGGCCCGCTAGCCACCGGGCCGGGCTTCGCCGGGCCAAAAAGCGGGCCTTCGGCGGGGGCGACGGGCTCGTGCTGCATTGCCATATATAGATACGATATGGCAGTGCTCCTGTTTTAAATTTGCAACCATGAACTTTGATGGCAATATGCCTCGGTGCAATTTTGCATTATATTGCTTCTACTGTCCAAGTGCACTTAAAAAGTTATTTACTTTCTTGCTATTGAATTCGTGTAGCTTAGAGCTCCGATAGTTTTACTTTGTTCTATGTCTAATATTTTTAGTTTACTTATCAAACCTTGTCTTTTGTAGCGTTCCAAGGGAAACACTATCTGTGGGGAGTGTTCAAGCGCAGGATGGGTAATGGGAAAACAGGTGCCGCAGGGTAACAAAAAGTTTGTGCTTCACATGGGTGCAAAGTGACACCCTGGTCCAAGAAATGCCGGTTTCGAAGGGTATCACAACGTCAAGGAGACAACAGTTGCCAAGCGCTGTCCATGGCTTTTGCACCGAGACCGACCCCTGTGATCATACGAAGCCCTGCCCAAATTCAGAAAGCTCCTGCACCCAAGCTGTTTGGCCTTGTCATCGGGCAAACGACGATGTTGGAGCACTTCATTCGGGAGCTGGAACTGTAGGTGCATTGGTGGTTTCTCTGAACTTGTGAAAGGTTTAGCTAAGGCCCGTCCTGTAAAGTTCACGGCCTGAAACAATGTAGTAGCAAGTAGGATCAGAATTCAGAACTAACCAGCGGCAATCACGCTCCGGCTTCTGAAGCGTAGCTGTAACCTTTTGTTGATATTCAGGACTGAGAGCTAGATTGTCTTTTAACTACTGTCACGTTTTAACACTGAAGACGTTCCTGTGCCTGCAACCCTAATCTAAGATGTATCACGCTGCATCAAGTGGTGCTGCTACTCTCATGGGCGGATTTAGGGGTATTCCCCAGTATTCCAAGGAACACCCAACTATTTTGGTACACTTTTACATAGATATGTGTATATACTTAAATATATAAATGTATAATGCTATAATCAATAGTATTTTCGCACATTTCAGCTCAAAATAGGTAAAAAAATTGGCCTTTCAATTAGAAGACTATATTCTAGAAAGCAAATATTGGTTTAAAGTTGCTGATTTGCATTGCTATTGGCTATATTTTAAGTCTATGGATTCGATTTTTTTTATGATGCGGAAGTGGGAATAGTCAAGTTTTAAATCCTAGCTCCGCCACTGGCTACTCTGCTATGAAAAGTCTAGCCAAAATTATGTTTCTGTGTGCTGTACTGCTGTTTCCGTTGTGTTTTTAAGCTGGACATGCATCTTACCTGCGCTAGTAGATTTTCTGCTCCAGAGATACAGTTGCATAAAATGTAAATGTAAAGGTGAATGCTTTCTGCAATGGTTCTAAACTCCAAAATTTTTAGATACTGATCTGAAGTATGAATTGCCGCTCATTCGCTTATTCAAGAAAACCATATAAGACATCAGGAACGTGTAACTCGAGAAAGTGACACTTCATATAGAGTATTTAACGTGTAACTCGAGAAAGTGACATTTCATATAGAGTATTTATTAAATAAGACTTGGACGTGTCGCGTCCAACGCAATCAAGTCAGTGCACTGCCTCCAGCTCCAGTTCTCGAGTTACACGTTCCTGATGTCTCTGAAGTCTGAACCGTATCTACTGCCAAAGATCTAAGACAAAATCTAGAAACAGGAAAGGTGCACGCCCATGTGCAAAATGGGTGCAGAGCCGGAAACGACGAGATCCTGACCGAAGTCTGGCCAATAGCTGAACTGTGAAAATGCCATGATGCGGCATCCAAGCAAGAAGGGGCAGGGAGCTCTGCTGTGATATGTCCGGTTGTTCTTGACTCTTGGTCAGAACAGGGGACATTCATTCATGTTGCTTTCTCGATTTACACGTGAGTTGATGGGAAACCACTGATCGGTTTGGTTAGTTCACTGGTGCGATTTGCGACGTCAATGTGATGATCCATAGGTCCGACTAAGCGAAGGAAGAAATACCTGACGAGTGTGACTTCTTAAGCTGATTTCCATGGTATGTGTTAGCTGAGGTGATACGGATGGGCCACCGGTGACCGTATCTAGCTTTTCCACTTGCCAGGTATGGAAAAGCGAAAAATGGACAGATTTTGTCATAGTTTACTAAGCACGTGGTTCTGAGTACGTTGATCGATTCGTGTCATGCCTGCTGCTGCTAGAGAAAGTATATAGGCGAAATAAAAAAGATCGGTCATGATGTGCCCTCTCTGATTTTCACTTTTTATAATTTACTGTAGAAACAACACATTAATTTTTACTCTATGTAATCAACACATTGAAGAGCCTAGTGGTTAAAGAAAGCCTTAATAGCACCTCATCTGCGGTGACTTGGTCAATATTGAGAATTTGCCGGATGCAAACTTAATTTCTTTCAAGAACAGACTAAACCAATTGATTGACTAACAAAATAATTCTAGATCTAGATCTAATCATGGATCCAAACAATCACTATCCAGAAAAAAACTAAATAATAGACCATAAAAATCAAGACATGGCCACTAAACAAGGTTAGGATCTTATTTCCCAACTAAATTGAACCTGAGACCTACAAAGGTTTTATCCAATTTCATTTATAGTTGCCTCAAGCATGCAAAGAGAGAGAAAAGGAGAACCTAATTAATCAAGTAATCTAGTGCTAAACCTTTAAAAAGGTGTTAGAAATGGAATGTACTTACCTTCTATAGTCTCATCCTTCAAAGAAATCAAGAGCAAAACCGTCCTCATAAATTTGCAATTTTTGGAAAGTTGAAGCGCCGGCCCCTTGAAGGGCGAGCCTGGTGCAAGCGGTAGAGTCTTACCGCCATTGACCGGAAGGTCCCGGGTTCGAGTCACGATCTCCTCGCATTGCACATGTAAGCGTAAGGCTTGCCACTAACACCCTTCCCCAGACCCCGCACAGAGCAGGAGCTCTCTGCACTGGGTACGCCCCTTTTTTGAAGCGTCGACCCCTTGCTTTCTCCTGAGGCACGGGCCAGTGAAAAGCACGACTCGATAGGGGTTGGGCCGGGAGGACACGCCGGGCCTCCCAGGCCGTGCCTCTTAGGGCCATGGGCCTGGCCTTTAGCCCTGGCACGACACTATGGTCCGTTTTTCGTATCGTGCCGGCCCGCGAAGCACGACCAGAATTATGGGCCGTGCCAGCCCACGGCCCTTTACCCTTGCATTCACAGAATCAAACAGAATCAATGTTGAAAACTCAAAATGTCCAATACATTCACAGATCACAGTTTCATACATTCACAGAATCAAAGTCCAAATGTCCGATACAATCACAGTCCAACAGGGGGCTACAATTCTTTCCCGAGGAAAAAAGGGGGCTACTGCACATATTGTAGATAGTTTATAGAGGCAACTCTAAATTAGACTCGTCTCTGAAAATATTACTTTAGAGGCGGTCGACGGCTCACCTCTGAAAATGTATTTCTTGCAAACAACTGATTTGGTTGGAGCTGGTGGTGGGCTATATAAAGACAGCTGGTAATTCAGCCGCCTCTACCAATAAAATAGGTGCCCCTACAAATTGAAACTGAAATTGGAAAGACTAGGAATGGGAAAGAAAATGGGATTCACGGGCTTACAAATTAAAGCGAATCAATTCGAATGAAGCGTGTCGGTAATGGCCGGGATCCGAAAACACAAAACTAGAACACCAACACATTGAACCAAGAACATGACTTCACATGCCGAAGTAAGAAATACCTGCTGAGTGTGACATCTTAAGCTGGTTTTCATGGTACGGTTTATTAGGTGTTGAGATGACACAGATTGGCCACCACTTGCCATATCTTGCTCACCAGTTAAGGAAAAGCGAAAAGTGGACAGACTTTGTCATAGTTGTAATCCACTTCTTGTCTCAATTCAGGTGGTACGTAGATGTTTTGCACTAGGAATAGAGATCAAGGCAAAAGTACAGTTCTACGCTACTGTCAAACATAAGCGGTAAGCCTATATATAGAGATGTAGTTAGCCTAGTAGCCTACACGTTCTCCTATATATCCAACATAGCTATAACAAGCTAATAACAAAACAACCGACACCATTACGCCATGGGGTCCATCACGGAGAAACACAGCACCGATCAGCAGGCCTTGCTCGACGCTCAGCTCGAGCTCTGGCACAGCACATTTGCCTTCATCAAGTCCATGGTGTTCAAGTCCGCCTTGCAGCTTGGCATCGCCGATGCCATCCATTGCCATGGCGGCACTGCCACCCTCACCCAGATAGCCACCAAGGCCGCGCTGCACCCGTCCAAGACACCAAACCTGCGCAGGCTCATGCGCGTCCTCACAGTCGCCGGCATCTTCAGCATCGCCAAGAACTCGCCTGACGACGACGGTGGTGACCACGTCTACGGCCTCACTCCGGCGTCTCGACTCCTTGTCGGCTCATCACAGAACCTGACTCCAACACTGAGCCTGATCCTTAACAACACCTTCGTGTCCCCGTTCCTTGATCTTGGCACGTGGTTCGAGCACGAGCTGCCGGCGACAGACCTGCCCCTCTTCGAGCTGTCGCACGGGAAGAACGTGTGGGACGTCGTCGGCCACGACCCGTCCATGAGCCAGCTCTTCAACACTGGCATGGTCGCGGACACCCGCTTCCTCCTGGACATCGCCATCAAGGAGTGCGGGGACGTCTTCCAGGGGATAAGCTCCCTGGTCGACGTTGGCGGGGGCCATGGTGCGGCGGCGCAGGCCATCTCAGTGGCGTTCCCTGAGATAGAGTGCACCGTGCTGGATCTTCCACACGTCGTCGCCACCGCTCCGGCTTGCGCCGGGCTCAGTTTCGTTGCTGGTGACATGTTTGAGGCCATTCCACCAGCGAATGCTGTCTTCCTCAAGGTATATCTTCTACTTCTAGCTAGTTTCACATTTTGTTTGATATGGACATGCATTTTATTTTGTTGTACCAGGTGAGGTGGCTGCTTTGATTAGTCCTTTTGTTATTATATAGCTTATGAGGTAGGTCGAATATTCAATCATAGTTCAGCCCAAGAGTTTAAAGGACCTGGTCCTCAGGTGGAACCTTCATATTAATTAAATATGAAAAGTTTATGAGATGTGACTTCAGCACAGTTTATGGAAAAAGTATGTTCAAGTAGTTTTCAACCTTAAGTGACATGACTTCTAGAAACAGTACTAGCAACTGATAGTTTATACTTCACACGGAACATATATAGGAAGTATTGGAGGTAGGTACTTGTAGTCTGCTAGTATCTGATTTAATGTTAAGGAACCACTACCAAGGAATAACACTGCTTCTTGATTTCTTATTTCAGTGGATTATGCACGATTGGGGTGACTCTGAGTGTGTCACGATATTAAGGAACTGCAAGAAGGCTATACCAACACGAGATGCAGGCGGCAAGGTGATAATAGTAGATACCGTGGTTGGTGCAGGGCCTCCAAATCTTAAGAATAGGGAGACACAGGTCATGTCTGATCTCTTCTTTATGATAGTCAACGGCACTGAGAGAGATGAGCAAGAATGGAGGAATATCATCTTTGAAGCTGGTTTCAGTGACTACAAGATTATACCAGTTTTAGGTGTTCGATCAATCATCGAGCTCTACCCCTGAAATCTAGTTTATTTCCTCAGCTTCTCACCTATCTGTTGAGTGCTTTCATATGTGGATCTGTGTTATTTTTTTTCTTTAAAAACAGTGTGGATATGTGTTTAAATTCGTATATATATACTCACTATAAGATGGTATATATATGTATGCAAGTGAACCATTATTATGTCTCTAAACTAAAGGAGTTGATGTTTTTTTTTTTCAAATCTAAGGGATCTTGCATCCGCTTTTTTGCCTATTCTTTCTAAAGAATGTTGTATCTAAAGCAATGAATTCCAGTATTTTCAGAATGACATATTCAGCTTACGTTCCACACTATTTAAAAAAAGCACATCACGGATGCGCGTTCAGGCACATCACAGATGCGTCTCGGCTCGTGTACCATAACGCGTCTGTAATAAGACTTATTACAGACACGCAAAATGCACGTATGTAATAAGCACATACTACAGACGCGTGTTACCAACACGCGACTGTGACAAAACGAACACGCGTCTGAGTTAAGCCCTTAACAGAGACTGGTGAGCATCTACAACGTCTGCAGTAAGCTCTTACAGGAGACGTGTGTTGCCAACACGCGTCCACGATAAGATTAAGATGCGTCTGTGTGAAGAACCACAGTTTAGACGCGTGTCTGTTATACGTGTCTGTAGTAAGAATCCTACTACAGACGACATTTGTAAACGCGTCTGTGTGAAGAACCATAGTGCCGACGTGTGTATAATACACATGTCTGTAGTAAGGATACTACTACACACAATATTTATAAACGCGTCTGTAGTAAGTAGCATACTATAGACTCGTATTCTCTACACGCGTCTGTAGTATTTTTCTTATCATAGACTGGTCTAGGCTACAGACGCGTCTGTAGTAAGAAAAATACTACAGACGCGTCTGTAGCCTAGATCCGTCTGTAGTCAACAGAACAGACCACACAACATAGATATACACAGATCACAAACATATATACACAGATCTCACAGAAATGACATATATATATACAAGATCACAACTGTTCATCTCAAAACTTAATTTGTTCACAGTACACACACTGTTCATCACACACGGTTCACAGATTGTTCATCATCAGGTTATTCACATGTATCTCACAGCTCCAGTTGTATCTCAAGATTGGGCACAACAGTAGCTAGCTATAGGACATATCAAATGAACATATATACCATGCACTTCATCATGGTTGTGTATCTGCACAATGAAACTCGCCTTTTTCGTCGATGATCTACGACACAATAAACGAGGCGAGCTTCTCTCTAATGTCCTCAAAGTTGATTGGAGTGGACTGCACATCAAAATCGTGTAATTGCCAAAGAGCATCATCAGTAAACACAAAAACACAGTGTGTGGATAAAGGCCAACGCCTGAGGCAGATGGGATACTACTGATAGTGTGTATAGGCACAAAAGCATCATCAGTCAACAGAAAAAGCATCATCAGTGCATCACATCACTTGCTAAATTGCTGACACAAAGCTAGTATGTATAGCAGCTAGGTAAAGCTCCAACGAGCGCCATTACCATTCCATGACCCAGCACAAGCACTCAATTGCATTACACACTGCCTGCTAGCATTCATTCATTACCCAGTTGCTAATCCAATACAAGATCTCTAGCTTGCAGTCAGCTACATACATAGCTATATCCAGATTTATAAAACATTCATTCATCACTGATATATATTTGCAGATGTACATGAGGATTATTCAAATTGGCCTGTGCCATCGCCAGCATCAAGTGGTGGGCCACAAAGAACCCACATGTGTGGTCCAGACCTTGTTGTTGGCACTACGAACATAGAAAACACATGGTTAATAAATGAATTGACAAAAAGACTTTACTACCGGAAGTGAAGCACTACTTACTAGAATTTTGAATGCATGGGTCAGCTTCAATTTTTTCAGCCCTTTCTTCGTCCTGGGTTGGAAATTGCCAAAAGCCCTACACATACATAATCGAGTTGTTATCAATTTTTTTTTGACTTCCAATAACATAATTAAGAAAGAAATACATGGGTCAATAGTAGGTTAGACAATACTTACTCATCTATCACAGATTTGATAGGACTCAAATCTGACTTCCTGCCTCTATTGGAGTCGAGGTATATCACCTTCTGCCATTTTCGAACGATGATGAAAACAATCCAGTGCCCACCATAGTTATGTGCAAACATCACAAAATTTTTCTTGGCATATTTCCTTAGGCAATATTCCAGATACCCCACGCTATAACTTCTATCAATGTTCATAGTCTTTATTAACACTGGATCTGGATCAATAATGCCAACAGGCACATCTTTGGCCCTAGATTGTATAATCAGGCATCTAGGAATAAAGAACTATACACAAAAGTAATTTAACAAGCAATTATATGAAGAGCATCCCTAGCTAAAAATGAACAAGCCCAGAAAATAGATGAAATTGTACTTACAGTGTTAACATGCGAAGAAGTCCTACATCTAATCCATCATGTTTGAAGAGGTCAAACAAGTCTTCTAATCCCACAGCGAAAAACTCAGTGTCTGCCTCACGCAAAAATTGCTGTTTCTTGAACACAACAATCATCCCGGCTATCCTCTTCTCTTCACATTCTTTCATGTACCAAGCATGAAGAGCAACACACCCAGGTCCTGCCTTCTCAAGCTCTATTTCTGATAGGAACCGCTCTCCAAATTTTAACTTGGCGTTGGCCTGCGCCCATATAAAACCCCCAGGGGCACTCTTAGTCGATTTGGTGGCTTTCTCCACCTTCTGCTACTTGGCACCCACCTGCTGCTCTAGTTTGCTGTCACTCTTGGCTGCTCTAGGTTGTTTCGGTGGGTTAGCTGGAGTAGTTGTGGACTTAGCCTGCTTTGGCTTTGTCAGTGGGTCAACTAGAGTAGTTGTGGACTTAGGTTGCTCCAACGCTGCATCAGTCTCCTTTGAAGCACTCTTTTCTACAATAGTGCCACTCTTCGGCTTGTCAATAGTTGCACTCTTAGAGGCACTCTTTGCTTTCTCATCGCCTATCACAAAGTCCTTTAGATTGCTTTTGGAGCTCACAGGCAGTGGAGGTCTTGATAACTTTGGAGAAGAGAGCACCTTTGGTGATACCACCACAATCTAGCCTTTCCTCCACTAGACCCTCTTGTATGGAGCCTATCCAAGAGTTCTTACCTTAGCACTTGGGCGCGGACTCAATGGGTTGCTACCTCCATCTAATAACCTCTAGGGTTGATTACTAGGCTACACGGTGTTGGCTCTGTCAGAAGGTCCACAGTATCTGGATCTAGAGTTGCCTCAAGTCCGTCGAAGTAGTCTCTTTCGACTGCATCTGAGGCTAAGGCACAACTGCTCTTCCGACCACCTACAGGGCTAGGGGTGTTGGAAGGCGACCTCAAATGCACTCCTTGGTCACTCAGCATGGGCATGATATCATGTGTGACCTTCTTGGTAACTTCTTCTGTCACTTGGCTTCTAACTTCTTCTTTGATGGCTTCCACATCCACATTATTGGTTGATTGCTTCCTCTTTCTATACATGCCAGTGTAGTCTGGCCAATGCTTCCAACCACTATAACTAGACACACCACGCACACAGCCTGTCTGTTCTAGGCTGCCCAAGACCTCTGTGAGCACATCCTTTTCCCTAACCAAAGTGATCCCTGAAGACTCAAGGGCTCCTTACTTCTCTAAAATTTTCTTAGATACACTTTCAGCTGAATCTTTCAACCAACTAATCTCAGCACTTCCTTCTGACTTAACCAAAGTACTCCGTGCACATAGCCAATTCCTTGGGCAACCACCTGGAAACTGGTCCCAAGGATTACTGATGCCTTGGGCGGCTAACTCCCTGTCCTCCTGCTCCCACTTTGCAGCTTCCCCTTCATACCCTCCTATCCCCAGGCAGTGGTCATGCTTGTTCCTCTCCCGAATCTTCTTGTACTTGTCACTTGCTGCCTTTGCTTCACTGTCCTTTAGTTTCACAAAGTTTACCCAATCTTCTTTCGGAATATATGTGTGCTTCACCGTGGCATACAACCCTTTGTTGATGAAATTGCGTGTAAGGTCGTTTCTGTGGGTTCTCCAACTCTTAGCCACCAGCTCATTATCTTCTTACATGCAATAGCCTTTAATTCTTCTAGAAACTCCAACCAAGGCTGGACACACTCATCAAATATAGTAATCTTGTCTTGTTCACTTAGTGAATTGAATGAAGGCAGGACCAAGGAGATCCTTTGTCTAGCAATCAGACCAACTAGCCTCCTCATTATTATCTGGGCCCTCTTCTCTATGGGAATCCCAGTCGGAGTGAGCTCCGTGATGGTTAGCTTGTCATCTGCCCGTTGGGTGACTGTCCTATTTCTTGTCCGGGGTTTACGAGGAGGTTCATATTGCTGCGCCTGATTAGCATCTCTATCTTCATCCTCTATGGTACCATCTCCCTCTTGGTCCCTTGCATCCGCATCTCTCTCTTCCTCCTCTTCATTAGCATCTCTGCTGTGTCCCTCCTCTCCACTGTTAGTTGGTTCTTCGTCTTCTCCTCCTGATGATGCCGTAGATGCGTGATTAGACACCTATCAAACAAAGGTGAGCAAGGTTGTTAGTGAACATGATAGAGCACTGCCATCTAACAATAACTAGTGTTAGTATATCACAAAGCTGCATCTTACCATTCTGATAGGGACCTTTTACAGCACCACAGATCCATGTTTGACACATATGAAGTGAAAAACAACAGCAAAAATGTCATGAGATGATGTACAATTCAGAATAGAAAATTCAGAGTAGACTAAAATACATCCACTCAACTAGATCATCAACAACCACATCAATAGTTTAGGAAGCAATAGAAAATACAACATATTATGTAATACTAACTGAAATTCTCAGCTAAGTATGACCCATAAGAGTTTATACTGATCAACAAGCATAAGTAGATCTGGTACCTACGGTGGTAGTGGAGCTGGCGTAGTGGCGGCAGTAGTGGCGCTGGCGTAGTGGTGGCAGCA